ACTACTACTACTACTACTACTTACTCTCTCTCTCTCTCTCTCTCTCTCTCTCTCTCTCTCTCTCTCTCTCTCTCTCTCTCTCTCTCTCTCTCTCTCTCTCTCTTCCGAAACTTTACATTTCAGAAAATGTTGCGAGGCCGACGACTCACTGTGATTTACGAGCGCATTCGCTTTTTCATTATACAATAATTATCAATGCGTGATTATTGATACAATTATTTGACAAGCTAATAACGTGGCGTGCGTACATGTATCTCTCCCGCGTTGGTCATTAATTAATTATTGCGATGCATTAACTGTATTATGTTGATGACAATCGGCGTTGCCAAAGCCGATTTTCGCCGCCCGGAACTTTTACCGCAAAATATGGCAAATTACCGGCTTATTTTCATCCGTGCGTGCTACGCGCGAGCGCGACGTATGGACGACGGTAATTCCTTCATCCGCGTATAGTTCGCGTATGTCGCTCGACTCATCTGGCGTCTCGCGCACAAGCGACACTTTAAATTAATTCGCAGCAGCACCCGCGCCTCGGTGCCTCGCGAACGCGAACGGGCGGCCTCGGACGAATTGGCGATCGAAACGCAGCCGCGATAAATCTCGAAACAGCCGCGACGCACAAAGTGCGTCATCGGCTTTAAACATCGGCGTGCACGCGCGGGAGAGATATCCGCCACCGATGGGACGGTATAAATTTCATGTTTTTTATCTACCGTGTGTTTCGATCGCCATGAGATATTAGCCGAGAATCACGTTGGGAAAACAGGCGGAGGAGTTCGCCCCGCCGTTTGCGGACGGACGGACTTTTATAATTTCGTTCGGCGCGTTTCGATTCCCTTCGCGCTTCTCCTATTATTGCTTGAGAAAACACCGCTGATAATGATTACGTCCTCGCGGACGTAAACGTGATTACATTAGCAGGAATAACTCTGCGCCACCGTAGAAAAATACTCGAGAACCGAGCTCAGTAGCCTCAAGTTTTCCGTCTACAGGCTACTTATGAATTTACATCGCGTCACGCGAGCGTTAAATGCGATGTAGGAATATGAATTTTCCTACTTAATCCTCTTAGATCAAAACTAGTTTGATCACGTGGCCTCACGTGATGAATGCAAATGCCAGGTATCGGCAATTTTCTAAGTGTCGTTTACCTTCTGATTTTTTTTTTTTTTCATTTAATGATAAATAAACCGAAACAATCGCCTGTAAGATGGCAATATCAAGGAAATTAGCATATAAATTGAAATTTTCACGTAATTATCATAGAATTATCGTACAAGTTTATCGGATAGTAGGATATCAACGGGGAACGCGCTACCCCATACGTTACGTTAGGGTAAGTTAGAGAAATTTTATACTCGAACTCGTGGCGCTCACGAATGATTCGCCCAATCCCGTTCAAGGCCTTCATTATCGTCGCGTTTGCACGGTCCGCTCGTCAATGAGTAATCCGCACTTCCGTATCGCGATACAAATTTAAGAGACCGGCGGAAGAGAAAAAGAGAGAAAGAAACCGGACGGTCTCACCCCTCTCAACCCTTACCGGAGTTCTCGAGACACGGCTTCCACCTCGGGAGCGTATGATTAAACAACTCAAGTGTTTTATGCTCGGCTCGTGGTGATCGCGTGACCCAACGGCCACATCCGTTTCCGCCTTTGCGTACGGTCAACCTCTTCGACCCCTAACCAATGGTTCGCCTTAAGGGTGCGCGTTACCATCGACCGCGAAAGAAAGTATACTTTTCGCCGACGTATCTTTAAGCTGTAATCCGGCTTCGCTCGATAGTTACGCGTCGACGACGAGCTCTCCGTTGTTAAATTTTACGTCACGATGACTGCCACTTTCCCGATGATTTTATTTTCATTTTTAATTTGTCGCGACATCGAGACTTTAATTTGTAAAGGAAATATTTTTTCCAACAGAAAATATTATTTAGTCTCATAGTTCAATATATTTTTTTTTTTATAATTGTCGTTATGTATTTTATCAATGGTCTGTTAATCTATAGAAATACGAACGTGTATGACATTCGTACGTTTCTTCGAGTATTCTGACGTGCGCTCTCGATGTTTCGGTCTCGTGGCCTGAATCAATTCAGACAGCCATAGGGTGCAAGAAAGGTCGGGCAAATGTCGGGGAATGACATTAAGTGCCGAAATGCTATCGACCCCCTCGTGAAGTAGCGATAAAGAAGCGATCCCGTTTCATATTCTTTTATAACCTGATATAATTTGTTTGACATCGAAAAATGTGTAAAGTAGATTAGTGATTTCATTAAATCTTGAAATACAATTTTTTTATACATAATGAATACAAGTCTGGAAAAATCATACAATGGAAAGTTAAATTTAAAATAAAAAAAGGAACATACTTATATAATAAAAAAAGAGAAAATGTAGCATGTACAACCAAAGTAATTTATACCTAAGATAATGAAATATTTATTAAAAGATACGATATATGTGAACAAAGAAAGAGAGGGAGAAGAGGGGAGAAGAAAAAGGGTAATTATAATCGTTTAAATAAAATTTAATTATTTTGATTATGTTGAAAGCCAGTACCGGTAGCCAGTACCGATAGTAGCTATCATTGAATTAAATAATTGCGTTGCGTTTTAAAAGGAGAGTGCGTAATACAAAAATCAAAATTGTACACACACACACACACACACACACACACACACACACACACACACACACACACACACACACTATTTATTCTCCGTGGTATGGTTACTTTTTATTAGTTAATTTAATTAGAATAAATAAATATTAATATATATATACGGTAATTAAAAGTACTTAACCGTCGGACCCGGTAAGGTTAATACAACACGTATAAGTAAACGGACGTCGTTTAGGTAACCGTAACCGGACCGTAAGGTTAGTAGACACGTAATGTACTAACTGTTGAACAACCAAGACACGAGGACTATAATATCGCATCGTCTTATCGCTACGTCTATTATGCGTCGGACGTATCTCTCGCCGCGTATATCAGTCTGTTCTCTCCTCCTCCGGTATTCGCGTACGTTTACGAGTAATTAGTCGGTATGTATTTGCATCTGACGTCGACCACCTCGGACGCCACCACACGCCCCATTGTCGACACTCTCATACCTCGTCGCTACTCCTTCCCTTTCCTTCCCTCCTTCTCCTCCTCCCCCTCCCCCTCCTCTCTCTCTCTCTCTCTCTCTCACGTTTCTCTTCTCTCTCTTTGCAAATGTCTCCGAATGCCTTCGCATTCACGTCGGAAGCTTCTGCGTCAATTATGCTCGTCAAGAGAGGAAACGTCAGGCGGATTCTTCTCGCTCTGCACGGCATTGATCCTCCTCGAAAGTCTCGACTTAGGGGAGCGAATCAACGTTTACACCGACCGTAATGTAGACCGAGGGATGAAAGTCGCGAGAATAGTGACGTCTAATTTCATCAAGAGCAAATAACTCATTCGTGTATTTGTACGTTTCTCGAAGTTTTCCAAAGCTCTCGAGTTCTAAAATTTTGCAAAGTAGTCTCGCTAATTTTGACAGAGCCACGATGGAAATTATTTTAAGAAGAGGACTTGAAAAATGTAACAAAAATTACCACCTATCGTCTCGTGCGAAAACATGGAGATGGAGAAAATGTTCTCTTCGTGGCATTTCGCGTGACGTGCGCGCTCTTGAGCCTTCGCACACCGATTATCTCCATTTGGCAGATCCGCCGAGGCGTTTCGACTTTCGAGTCCCGGCTTTCGAACGAGCCTCGGCTTAACTCGGTTGTTGTGAATAAGTAAGCGAAGTGTTGCGAAGTGCTGCAGAAGTTAGGCAAACCCCCCCCGGGCGCGCGCGGCTGGGGTAGCTCGAATTAAATTGTTATACGGATGAGCTGCCACGAGGAATACTCGAGCAAGCGACTTTGCCGTCGCCGCCGACGTCGGCGCCGCCGCCGGGTGTGAATGTTTAATTACCGGCTTTCATTATTGTTAATAAAATAATAGCGCCGCCGGAGGGGGCCTCGCGGAAGCGAGATCACACTTTGGCGCGATGTGAATCGGAACTCGGCTTTCTCATCGGCGTGTTTTCTTGGAGCCCCGCCGATTATCGAATGCGATTAATATGGTTTAATCATATCCTTTATCCCTTTCAAGTTTAAACAAATTAATATCTCCCTTTTGTGAAGGAAAAAAATTATCAAATCGTATCGTTATTTTTTACCTACCTATGATTGCACTGTTGACAAGCGAAACACTCCAAGTGGTAAACGTTGGTCCTCGCGCGCATCACCATCTCGAACGCCGGGATAACTTTGCTGCATGCCGCACAGTGACCGGTATTTCCGAAGAGTCTGTTAAAAAGAATAATAATCTATCATTTACATATTCTAAAGACTTACATACTCTAGAGAGTAATATTTTTTTTTATATCGATATCTCAAATTAAGATTTGCGATAAAATTCTTGTATGAAATATTACATTAAAATATTATTGACAAGTCTGGTTTTTATCATAACGCGGGAAAGGTCGTTTGTTCGACGATAAGAAACGCGAGGGAAAGTTTCGCCCCCGCGCGTAACGGAAACCAATAATCTTACAGGCACCGCGAATATGCCGTCTTCAAATATTGGGCCATTAATAAAGGCCACAATGTTTCGACGATGCGTGCTCCTCTTGCGGACGCGCCACCTGCGCGCATTCCCTCGGGACTCCGTAATCTCAACACGGTTTATTTGCTCTCGCTCGTGTTTATATGGGATGCGGGTGTATTCAATAAGGGAAACTCATCTGTAAAATTCGATTTGTTGCCGCCGCTCGTCTCGATTTCCCCTCTCCCCTCTCCCCGCAGCAGTGTCTTTTGTCAATCGCTTTTGTCAATCTGTCTGTCTGTTTGCTGACTCGTCGACAGAAGATGAGCAACACCGTCGAATTCGCCGAAAATTTTGTCAAAAAGAATCTTTCGAGGAACCGATCGATCGACTGAACTATTTGTTTGTTACTTACCGTAAATAATCCCTTTTGCAAAGGATGAGATTAGCCTTGGTGTAGAGCGTCGAGCCGACCTCACCGAGTCTGCAGTCGCAACATCCGCATTTCAAGCAATCCTCGTGCCAATACATGTCCAATGCTTTTAGAAGATACCTAATTAACAAAGATTATTATCTGTTTATATTTGAATAAAAAATGCTGGCGTTTGAATCTACATAATATAATATGATAATCTAAAAACTAATTATCGCTCCATTATATTCCGCAATTGCTAACGTCGAGCGCATGTTATTACACACAATTTCACATTTTTTTTTTATAAATTATTATAATTGCTTTATTTTTATTTTGTTGAGATATCTTTCCTTTTTTTTTTCATTTTAAAGTGGCGAATTTCAGCCGACATGGGTTTACCGCAATTTCGTTAAGAAAAATTAACCCAGTTCGTGCGGCCGACAACTTTCAGAGATAGACAGACGTTAAGATCGACCGTTAAACGAACCGTCGTTACGAGAAGCGTTCTTTCAGGGTGAGGTATAAAACATACAGGTAGCGTTACGTCACGCGACGAAACGGAGCACTTACCTCTCCGTAATCGCCTTTCCGCAACCCGCGCATTCCTGTTGAGTGGCCCCATTCTTGCCCGGTTCGCTCTTGCTCCCATCCATAGTCATTTTATCGCCTGCAACACGGCAGAGAAATGTTGGCTTAATCGCCACCGTAGAAATCATGCGTCGAACATTTACCATGCCTCATAAAAATTTACGCCGGACATATATGGCAATTTTATTCAAAGTACATTAAAAGCGCAATATTTATTATTCAGATTTTTTCTATATGCTACATTTATTTCATTAAACGTGTGTTTGATAAAAATGAACTTAATATCATTTATCTAGTGTAAAAGCTTCTTTTTATAATATTGTTATTTCGATCCGAAAGCCGCAGCCGCGGCTTTTCGGAAAGTATCGTTGAATCGACTTTCCGGCTGCAGTCGCCGGTGTTCAGGATCGAATGAGTAATCGCGTTCGCGTGCTTTTAACAAGTTTCACCGGCATCTGGCACTAGAATGTCGGCTTGTCTATGAGTAATTAGAGTTACGGCTTGAGAATTTAACGGCGCGGTTAGTGCCATCTGTGTCCACCCCGTTCGGCCCGTTCGGGCGTGTTAGCCTCTCTCATCCCCCGCGGATCCCTCCCGCATCGGGAGCGTCTCGTCCCATGGTCTCTTTCTCGCGATGTGGTCAGAGTTTAGAATCGAATTAGTTTGACCCTCCCACGCCTCTCTCTTCCTCCAGTTATTGCGCGTTTAAGCACCGCCGGCTTCGAAACAACCCAACGACTCGGGCAGCCGACCACTGCCCGTGCTCTGGATAAACATTAGGTATCCCTCCAGAAGAGCCACGATGCCCTATTAAGTATAAGAATAGCATAACGCTTGTACGGACCGTACGGGCAGAAAAAGAATAGCTTAAACCTTTCGTCGGAAAGGTAGTATGTAATTTTTTTTAAATATCATTTATTCATCGGTCTTTTTTTGGCTATAAAGATGTGTAGTTTTTCTGGCTGTCAACTGGCTGTAAATGTCATGTTAAATAAATAGCAAGACTGTTCTTGATGTGGTTTACGTCGCGTATATTGACAGATCGGCCTTTTTCCTCGGGCAATGTCCACCGAGCGTGCTATACCTTCGATCTCAGCCACCCGGTATATTTACGAGCTCATAGCCGAGCGGATGCTATGAGCGAAGTTTGTGCGGTTTCAATATGTCCTTCCCCTCCTCTTCCCCTTAGCATGGACACAATATTACGCGGGTTAATATCTTCCGTGCGGTCGGGGACTTCGGGGCAAATATTAATACGATGCCTTTGATCCGTTAATTATTAACGGCGACGGGGATGAAAAATCCGTATCGCCTTGGCGGAACGCGAAAATTGCCGGGGACAAAAACCAGATGCCGGATGATGCCCCGGTTTTCCGATGCGCTTCTAATTAAACGCCTTTGTGTCGGCGGATAAGCGGACGGGACCCGCATACATTGGATGCGTGTGAGGGCGTTTTTTGCGCGACGCGGGCAAACGCGCGCTCGGCAACGGAGGCAACGCGCGCTACGGGAAGTTTTCGTCCACGGTAACGAGAGACGCCTCCGTGCACATCGAGGCACCTCGGCTACAATCGCATACGTGGGGGGCGAGTTAATTAATCGAGTTGAATCGATTACACGCTTTACCTCCGCCCGCGGGTTACCGATAAATTGAATACGTTATAAATAATAGTACGATTGTTATTCGCGGGCGTGCACACACCTACCCGGGGTAATGATTAATGGAATAACTAACTAGCGGGGTAAATTATGCAAACTATTAAATCCGCCCGCATATAAACTTTCCCACATAATAATCGCTAGGCGGTATCGATTGGCGCGATATGTTAAATTTATGTTGCTCTTTCGCGGACCCCGTCGATGTAATTAGATCAGACGGAAAATAGTTCGGGGGTTCTTTTTTTTCCGTTTTTTTCGTTCCTTTTTTCTTTTTTTTACACTCATAAATGTGCATGAGGACGCGCGTGTGCTTTACCTTCGCGTTTACGTCTGCGAATTTCGAAGTTATCAACGCAATTTCCATAACGGCTGCATGTCTGTTTGGCGGTCGCGCGTTTTACCCTCGTGCGACGAAACGTCGCCGCTTCGCGAAACGGAAGTGGCGAGAGTGTTTCCTTTGAAACTCGAAATCCACCCCCCCTCCCCTTCCCCCCCTCTCTCGTACGAACTACGATACTACAGAAATATTTGGAGTTACGTGCATTGGAATTTCACCACAGAAATTCCTGCGGACGCCGACCTGGATTCCGCCGACGACCTCGAAAACCTTCGACCGCCAAGCCAGGTTGGCGCTCAATTTCCACTTTGTATTTAACCGCGATTTTCATCGGTGCGGTGGGTGTGGTTTCTCCCTCGGGCTCGGGGAAGAACGTTCTTCCGTTCTTTTATTCGCTCGTTTCGGCTGATCTCATAATCGACTTGGTTAACTTTGATCGACGATTCGACGTCGTTTCTTCCGTCTCTTTACGAATCGTACAAATCGCTGGAAATCGCGGAACGCGACGAAACAGGGGGGGAAGGGGGGTTTCACGCCTGTGAAAACAATTCGCCCTCGCGCGAAATTCGCGCGGTCAATCGTCGGCTTTTCAAGCGCCGGCTTTTTACGACTAATTACACGGCGGAGGTTACTGTCGTCGAGAAGCCAGCGGAGCACGTCGGAAACACAGTTCGCTCAAACGTTACCATGGAGGGTCCATAACGAGAGAGGTCGCTCTCCCTTCGGAAAGCGGCTCGCATCGCTGACCGTCGGAACTGTTCATCAGCTACGTGATCGAATCATCCACGGATGCTGATCCTCAAAGCATCGATAATTCGATTAGCCGTTACACGTTCGAGAACCGCTAACCTGTCCACGAGTCAGTGTACATATCCTCCTTGACCAAACCGTTGCCCGCCGTTACGCTCTCGGTGGTCATTATCATCGCGATGGTATTGCGAAAGCGTCATGGGAATTGCCAGACCCCTCAAATCGATCGAGAGGATATTACGACTGGTAAGAAGAATGTTATTTAAAAAACTATAGCTTTGTAACCATTTGTTTCGATTCGAATCTAGACGATTTGTCTCGTGACGCGAGCACAGACTCACTTAACGACCGACAAAGTAAACTGAGAATTTTAATAAAAATCTTTTGGAATATCGTAAGGGACATGTCTGCGAAATCAAGAGGACGTAGTAGTAAGGCGGGGGCGATCTGCTTATCGACGCAGTCGAGCAGTCCCGATGCAACTCTCTCTCAAGGCTCCGCCCCTGTAGCATCCACGACACTCCCAGCGTGCCACCCCCCCCCGGATCTCTTAAAGAAAAGAAAAAAAAGTACGGCATCTTGATGTCTCGGAAACTTTATTCACCGATACCCCTCCCCCCTCCTTTTCGCTCAATTCCAATTCGTTCTGCAATTGAGAGATACCATCGACATGTATTCGATATTCTCATTAAAGAAAAATCTCCAAGATTCCAATTTTTTTATTGGAAAAAAATGTCGAAGTGATAGGAATAGTTATGGAATACTCTAGGTGTTATTTTCTCGTAATTTTATCAATTTCTCTTGAAATAACGCGGTTTAGTTATAATAGACACATCACCCGCCGCTCGCATCTGTCCTCTTATTTTCTTCTTCCCTCTCGACCTTCCGCGGGGGTGGGGAAAATCCCTTACGTCAGGAAGCGCTTACCAAAATTTCCACTCGTCCGAAGGGGCACGAGGGAGGGAGGGGGAGGAGGGGGGAGGCGCGGTCGCGCTTTTGTCTTTAATAATGCTTCTGCAACGGCGTTATCTCTTACTTTTAGAACGAGCGAGCGGCCGGGCGCGGGCGTCCGGAGAGTCGGTCCATTAATTAGGCGGGCCGCATTAAGCCGAGCATTAATATACTCCGCTGGCTGTTTTGTTTTATCCCGCAGGAAGGACGTAACCTACCCCGGAGACGGCGGGGGTGGCCGTGCCGGGAGTCGGGTGGCGAGAGACAGGGGCAGGGCAGAGGACGAGGGGAATTATCCCGATGCGGGGGCAACTTGCTAATCCGACCTGCCACGCAACGCCAAGCCGCCGCCGCCGCCGCCGCCGCCTTATCCCGGGGGGCTGTTTAAATTCCGTAAATCGCCCGCGAGAGCGTCTCTCGGTCCCGGGTGCCGACGGTGCGCGTTGCCGACGGTGAATGGTCGCTCTCGAGAAATTAGGGAGATAAGATTCGAGCCGCGTGCCGTTAGTCACGTGCGAAAAACGGGGTGCCATCAGCAGAAATTCTTCTCTGGACGGGAGGAACCGTCGCGGATAAAGTCTGACGGCGGGCGTATCAAAATTAAAATAATTAAGCATGTAACTGGCACTTGTAACTGAATTAATATATACACAGTTTTCCTTAATCCTTATATAAATTTTTTATTTCAAAGTAATAATAATCGTGGAGATATAATATTTGCATTTGCCTCGCTTTATAAATTTATGCAAGGATAAATCTCGGATTATTTGTTAAAAATTCGATAACTTCTGAATGTCTTTTGTATTCTCGTCATTGTTTTCTGTTTGAATATATTTGATTCAGTTTTTTGCGTGGAGGACTACTGTCGTATTTTTTCAGACGATTATCAAAGAGCATTTCCACGCGCGTGTGTCTGTAACTACTTTAGCGAGAGAGAAGGAGTTTTCGGTTATCGTCGCCCACTCGAAATCGTCGCTTTCATTGCGCCGCGATAACTTCCGCTGCCGCTGCCGTCGGCTCGTTACTTCACATTTAATACGTTGGCGAAAACGCGCGATAGCGGTACAATACGTTGCGAAATCGGCTTAAGTTTATACTTGGATCGACTCGTTGGGCGCGAGGAGTAAGAGCCCCCGGTATAACGACGTAATTTAACGTCCGAAAGGAATATTTCCCACGGAATAAATCTCGCGTAACAGCGCCAGTGAAATCCTCGTTTACCCGGCGTTCAACCCTTGCTAATGGGGGTAATTTAAGGGATGTTTTAAGCGCCCCCGGGTCACACGTGAGCCGCACAAAAAGTTCGCGTATTACGACCGTGGCCGCCGTAATCACGCATTAGCATTCCGAACGGCTGGAACCGCCGTGATATTCCGGATACG